GATTACATAGGTTTAGTTGCCAGCGATCTCTGCACCAGTTGCGGTGGGGATAGAGTTGATCTCGCGCTCGCTTGTGTTTGCGATCATTAGCCTCAGATGCGTCAACATTTCTTCCCCACAGGATGGGGGGGGCGAGGGCGGTGGTGGGGGCGAGGAGGGCAAAGGGGCGGCGGGGGGAGGCAGCACAGGTGATGGAGGCGACGCCGGTGGAGGAGAATGCGGCAGCGGGCTCGGCGGAGGAGTTGACGGCGAGGCAGACGGCGGGCTTGTTGGTGGCGGCGGCATCAAATCCACCCAGTGCCATAGGACATCGCTCACACCGCACCAGAGCATTTTGTCATGCCTTCGCGTCTCGCACACCGCGGCGTTCGGGGCCTGATTCCCCTTGCCCCACGCGTCCTGCTGCCAATACGGCAATGGGGCCTGCCCATGCCCCTCTCCGAGCCTGGTGTGGCATCTGCTGCCCTCCAAGCAGGGACAGCCGGTTGGGAGCCAGTACCAACACGTCGCTGGAGGCTGGGTGGGCACGGGTTTCACCAGCGGGGGCGGCGGAGGGAGCAAGGGCGGCGGGGGCGAGGGTGGGGACGGCTGGGCAGGCGACGGCGGGTGGGGACTGCGAGGAGAGGGCGGCGAGGGCGAGGGCAAAGCGGGTGGGGAAGGGGGGAGTGACGGCGGTGGCGGTGGCGGAAGTGACGGTGGTGGCGGTGGCGGAAGTGACGGCGGTGGCGGTGGCGGAAGTGACGGCGGAGGCGGTGGCGGCAGTAACGGCGGTGGCGGTGGCGGAAGTGACGGCGGAGGCGGTGGCGGCAGTAACGGCGGTGGCGGTGGCGGAAGTGACGGCGGTGGCGGAGGCGGACGTGATGGCGGTGGCTGTGGCGGAAGTGACGGCGGTGGCTGTGGCGGAAGTGACGGCGGTGGCTGTGGCGGAAGTGACGGCGGTGGCTGTCGCCAGAGGTGCCCGAAAACGCTTGGCTATGGTCGACGGCGTCTCCACCGCGTCCACCGCAGCCTCCTCGCCCGCCACCGCACTCGCCACCGTCGCCGCCTTCGCAACCGCCGTGCGATGTACCCATTAGCGGGCCGTTTGGCGTCGGCCCATTCCGCCAGCTCTGCTTGCGGCGCCGGCCGGGTTTTCTCGCTGTTGGGTCTCCTCGCGCCGTCTGTCTCGTGTCTCGACGTCTGTCGCCTGCCTGGGTCTTGAGGTGAGCTGTGCGCGAGCCCTTGTATGTCTGCGCCGGTGAACATCTTGTTTCTCTAAGGCTCCGGCCACGGTCAGGGTGACCCAAGGAATGTTGATGACACGTACACGTACACGTGTGGCACATCACGCCACGCGCCTCGGCCAGCTGGCGACGAGGAGCAAGCAGTCTCGCCGTCGAGGAGCGGCGCCGACCGTGCCCATGTCCACCGCGCTCGCCTCTCCCGAAGGGTGGCGCTTGCCTGCGGAGCGCATCGGCTACCCGCCGGACTGTGACCAGAATTGGCTGCTGACCAGCACGGTGGCTCCCGTTGTCAACGACCTCATGGCCAGCGCCGTGAGCAGCATTCTGCCGGCAGACGGCAGCGGGAGGCCTCTGCCCGCGCGGCTCTTCACAGACGGCTGGCTGCGCGCAGAGACCAATCTCGGAGGCCCGGTAGTCGACTTTTCAAACCTTGGTATCACGAGCCTCGTCCCCGGCGAGGTGACGCATGCTCTTTGCCGGAACGACAGGGAGTGGTACGCGAGGCAGCCCCTTACCACCAAGGTGGCCAACGTGCGCCTGCCCGATCACCTCTACTTTATCGTCGCGGGGATCGAGGCGCAGGTCTCCTTCAACTTTACCGTCAGTCAGAGGCTGCCGCTGGGCGGGCCGCTCCACATCGCCAACGGAGCCGGCAACGCCACTCTGCGTGGCTTCCTCGGGATGGATGTGGACGGCGGCGCCATCGGCCGGTGCGAGGGCAGCCTGGGCGTGCAGCCGTGGAGCATCTCGCAGCTCCACGTCTTTGGCGTCGGCTTCTCCGACGCGTTTGTCAGGGCCGCAGTCGGCGCCGTCCTGCCGTTGCTCGTGGGCGAGATCCCGGAGCTGCTCTGCCGCGGCGAGGCGTCGACTGTCAGCGCGCGCATCGTCGACGAGACGGGACGGGCGCGCGCCTTCGGCGGTCTGCCAGAGCTCGCCAACGCAAAGCTGACGCCCGTCCTCGCGCCGCTCCGCGCGCTGGACCTCGTGGTCGGGCCGGATCACCTGAAACGCGCGCGCCGCGACAGGGAGCGGCTCGCCCAAGTCGGGGTAGAGACTACGCTGGGACAAGGGCGCTTTTCAGGGATGGCTTGAGAGGAACCCTCGAACGTCGCAAATTTTTGTGCAACTGTGGGAGATGGTCGTCGCCGGTCTCTGGGGGAGGGAGGGGGCTCAACCAAGTGGGCCGTGTTCACAGCCCCGGGGGCTGTGAAAGGTATTTTCTTCTCAATAACAAGGCTGAGCTGTGAACTGTGATCTGTGAACACGCTCACGCCAAAACTCGCGCGTCCATGTCAAGAAAGCGCGCCACCCTCTCCCTTTCTCTCCATGTCAGTGGAGGGGCAGTCGTATGCCGCCATCATCTTTGCCCTTGCTGAGAAGCGCCGAGTGGACGGAGGGTACTACCCAGCAAGCGCAAGGCGGGTGCGGCAGGCTGCATGCGCCGCTGCAGTGCTTGGCAAAGCGCTCGAGCGGCTTGATCCGCGGAGGCCCCGAACGGCAATCGTCCACAACCTGGGGAGAGAAGAGCTCGGCATTCTCACACATGGCAAGCTGTGGCGGCTGCACCGGTGGAGGACGCCTCTAGACGGGCTCAACAACAAGAACCCGCTCTGGTCTCTCCCGTTTGCGCGGGTCATGTACTTTGACACCGACCACCTGCCGCTCCTCACCGGCAGCGCTGAGCGGATCGAGCTGCGGCGGGCGTCGTTCGAGCAGGCGTGGAGCGAGCCAGGCGAGCTTCGGGCGTTGGGCGAAGTCAACGCAAAGACGGGCCTACTCTGCTTCAACGGAGGGCTCCTACTGCTGAGGCCGGCGGCCGCCTCGGCGGCTCGGCTAGAGGCGGCCTCAAACATGTCGGCACGGCTCGTCGGCACGCCGCCCTCACAGTGGGGGCGCAGGGTGGCCGCGTTCAACCAAGGGGCAGCCGTGCCCTTTGAGGGCAACCTCTCGCGCTGCTCGCACCCCGGAGGCGACCAGGTGCCGCTCAATGCCGCCTTCCAGCACAACTGGGCGCCGCTCAACCTCACCTCGATTGACCCCTACAGCTGTGGGTGGGCGGTGGCAGGTGGTGGCGGCGACAGTGGCGACCAGCCCGCCCGCTTCAGCCAGCTCGACGCCTACCACTCGTTCCTCAACACGCTGCCGCTGCAGCTCGGCGCCTCGTGCAACGAGAGCGCCGCCGCCGCCGGTAGGTGCCCGCTCCCGCGCTCAGTCATGGTTGGGTCTCGGCGTTGGGCCCTGGCCGGCCGTCACGCGTGCCAGGCGTCGCACAGCCGATTTGCAAAGTACTGGTGGGAGCTGTTCCGGTCCTTGCCGAGCCGGACTCGGGTGGTGTGCTCGAGATGGGGCGGGTGAGAGGAGAAGGAAGAAGATGATGGGCACTTGCAATACGGCTCTAGATGGGGGAAAGAATCTACACACATCGAACCCTCTGGCAGGGGCAGTAAGTAAGTAAGTAAGGTGGCGAAGAACACACAGAGTCAGACCAACGACACGTTATCATCGTATGGGTGAACACGCCAGAACGCAAAGGAGAAGGGGGGTAACTCACCAAAAAGGGATTTGACATAACTCTCACGGGCTGAGTGCAAAAAAGAAAATGACGCGAAAAAAGAAAATCGAACCCATCGGCTGGAATACTTGCTGCACAGGTCGAAGCTGGAGGCAGGTCGCTAGACTGAGATGAGACCGCCAGTGGAGTTGGGAGTCCACCGTGCACCGCGCTGCGAGCCTGTCGTGTCCCTTGTCAGGAGCAGGAGAGCCCCACCTGTGCCCCTGATCGTCCTTCCAAAATCCTGCTCGTGCAGGTGTGGACCCTGTCCTCCTCCCCCATCCCCCGTTTGGAGGCCGCACTTGGAGCACTTGGAGTGCAGTCATCAACCTCACATCTAGCGCATCTAGGGCCGCGCTCTCTTTCTTTCTTTCGTGAGAGAGGCTTGTATTTTAAGTCTTTCTTTCTGGAGCCGGTGTGTGTGCCACAGTGCCAGTCCGCGCCAGTCCGCGCCCTTGTCGTGCCAGTGTGCTGTGAGACAGGCTTGATTCTCTCTGATGCCCAAAATTCTTTCTTTCTGCGCGCCAGTCCCGTGCCTAGTGTCGTGCGAGGGAGTTTTGTTGTAAAATTCTTTCTTTCTGGAAAGCACAGGGTTCCGGCTCCTAGCCAGATAGGGGGTCTGTCCCCACTGAGTCGCGCCAAAACGCCCTACCTACCTACTCGAGTACCTATTGCGCGGGCGCCAACCGCCAGGCTCCGTGCCCCACCTACCTACCTATTGCGGGCCCGCGCAGCGAAGCGAAAAATGCCCGTTGAGCCCTCTGTGAATAGGCGGCGCCGCCTCCGCACCCGTCTCGGCTGGCGTCCCAGCCGCAGGCGACACGTCTAGCATGGCCCCGTTCGCGGCTAAACGCGCCGTCTCCCGCGCGAGCGAAGCGGTATCATCGCGAGCAATCGCGTAACGGGAGGCTCGCTGGGTTTTTGTGGCTTTTTGTGCGGCTTTTTTGGATTCTCCCGCCTTCCTACTACTCTCTTGGGTTTTTTTAACCCCCCCCCCCACCACCACCACCCCACCACCACCACCTACCTACCTATTGCGGGGCCCTCTGGGGCGGTCAAAACCGGACCTACCTACCTATTGCACAGGGGCCAGCCAGGCGAGACCCCCTCTCTGGCTAGGAGCCGGAACCCAGGCAACCCGGATGCGGCTGCCTTGGCCACCTGTGCCTTGGCCTGGGATTGGACGCGCAAATACAACGCCCGATCAGCCCGCCGCGCCAGTCCGTTCAGGGGCATTCGCTGAGCGGCTCGACAATGCACTCTCCGAGCACGAGTCTCTCGAGAGAACGTTGATTGACGCTCGGGTCGCTGTTGACTCCGCGCACAGCCGTTTGCAACGCCTGCGGATGAACCACACTGCGGGAGAATTCGCCAACGCTGCCTTCGCAGTGGCCGCTCTCGCTCCCACCGCGCTCGCCACTGCCGCCCTCGCCACTGCCACGCTCTCGGCCACGGCAATTAGACCCGCCGCCCTCTCGCCTCCACCTTCTTCTCCTCTTTCGCCACCGCCGGCGCAGCCGCCGCCGCCACCGCCGCAGCCGCCGCAACCGCCTCAGCCGCCACCGCCGCCACTGCAGCCGCCACCGTCGCCACTGCAGCCGCCACCGCCGCTGCAGTTGCAGCCACCGTCCTCACCCACATTGCCAAGCCCGCCTCAGCCGCTGCCACCGCCGCTGCCAAGTCCCGCCCCTGCCGCCATCACCAATCTGCCCACTCTCCCGCCCCCTTCCCTGCCGCCACCGCCTGCGCCGCCACCGCCTCCGCCGCCTCCGCCACCGCCGCAACTGAACTTCCCGCCTCCCTTGCCGCTCCCCGTGCCGCTCGTGCCGATGCCAGCGCCCGCGCCGCTGCCGCCGCCGCCGTTTCTCGCAGGTGTCCCTCCGCGGGAGCTGGCAGGCAGAGAGCCGCTCCAGCCAGTCGCGCGGGCGCCAGCCAACCGAGCGGCTTGGGGCGGGGGGTTTGCAGGCGGTCTCACTCAAGCGGAGGACGGCGGTCTCGCAGAGGGCTTCAGCCTCTCGACGCCGGAGCAGCAGCAGCAGCAGCAGCAGCGGCAGCAGCAGCAGCAGCAGCAGTGGGAGATGGAGCAGCGGCAGCGGCAGCAGCAGTGGGAGGTGGAGCAGCGGCGGCAGCAGCAGCAGCTGGAAGAGGTGGTAGAGGAGGAGCTGCTCGAGGAGGTGAGCGACGCGTGCCTCTCGTCGCTCATCCACCGCTCCTCCAGCCCGGCGATCGTCCTCTTCTCGGACGGCGCGCGGCGTGTCTGTGTGGCCGCGAGAGCGATCTGGCCGCCCCTTGCACTGAGGCGAGCGCAGCGTGTGTCGGTAGGCTCTCGCGGCAGCGCTCTTCTCGAGGGCATGTTCATCGAGTCGTCGCGCCGCAGCGGCGGGCTGAGAGTTGTCAAGGCGCCCCCACGCCCCATGCCCCGCGAGCGTTTGCCTCCGAAGCCCCGATCTCGTCCAGCGTCCCTCCGACACAGGCGCCCATCTCAAGTTGCGGCCGCCTCTGGCAGTGGACTCGCTCTCAGGGCCAGCCGCTGCAGTCGTTGCCCGTGTGCGTCCTCTTCGTGCGTGGGTCGCCCGTCGCGACGCTGGCTGCTGGCGATTTTACGCCGGAGCTGCTCATGAAGTGGTCGTACTTGGCCGGCTGAAGCCCGTGTGTGCGAATCAGCGAGGGTCGGCGCTGCGCTGCTCGACACCGCCGCAGTCGGCGGGGCAGCGACGCTCGACACCCATTTTCTTTGCACACATGCATGTTGATTTGTCCACTGCCTTCGGACGTGTACCTGAAGCAGTGAGAGTGTGAGCAATCAACCTCTCCTCTCTCTTCTCTACTTCCACACCTAGATCCTAGTACGCCCTGCGGACTACCTGTGTTATATCGGTGTTGGCGGCACCGTACTTTACTGTAGACTCGTGTACGGAGTCTTCCCATCGGCGTATGACCGCATTTACAGCTTCGGCGATCGGCCACTCTCGTCATGCACGGCGCGCTGCTCCTTGCTGCATGCAATCTTCATCTTCTCCACTCCTCTTGCACATTATGCTGCTACAGAGGCACGCTCTTGTCGTTGGTTTTAGGTATGTTGTTAGCGGATCGCGACTTGTCGTCGGGTCCCTTCTCTCTCAATCGAGAAGGAATGAGGTCAGGTAGAGTGCTAGCGAATCTCACCCGTACTGTCTCTCGACGTCACGTCTACGACTATTCCCTCGGGCGACCTGAGGCCCACCGTCGCTCCAGCCACGAGAGCATCTCGCCCGCCTCCTCGCTTGCCATCTCGAGGGAGTAGCTGCGCATCCGGTCGTTGACGACGACACCAATTTTGGCGAGCTCGTCTCGAAGCTGATCCGCAAACCCGTAGTCGCGGCTTCGTTGTGCAACTCGCCGCGTCTCCAGCAGGCCGTCAAGTGCGCGTTGCGCCGCAGCGTCTAGCTCCGTCTCGTCGATGCTCTCGGCCTCCTCGCGTGTGTAGCCGTGCCTGCTAGTCGTTTCTTCCTTGGCTGGAGGCGCGCTCAGCCGCACGGGTGGCATCGGCGTGTGGATAGACCACCCGGGTCTTCCATCGGCACGCATGCTGCCGCCGCCGACAGTGCCGACAGTGAAGGTGCGAGCCGAGTCGTCGATGCTCACCCCCAGCGCGCCCAATTCGTCTCTGAGGCGGTCGGCGTCGACAAAGGCGCGTCGCTGCCGCGCTCCGACCTGCGACACGACAGCCTCTTTGGGAACACGAAAGCCTCTTTGGATTGGGCGCATGGTGGCGAGAAAAGGAGTTGGTGCGAAACTACTAGCTTTGGTGATCGCACCCGCTCCAATAGAAGCCGGTCAATTGTCAGCTGCTCTTCCTCCGAGAAACTCACGGCTCCGGCGTCCCCTCGTACGTAGCCGTGGCTGCTAGACGACGGCGTCTCGCCGCCATCCCCAGCGCTTTTGCGCGGCTCGACAAAGTACGTTTCCGTTCGGTCTTGAACCCGCACTCCAAAATCCCTCATCTTCTCGCGCAGCAGATCTGCCCGGGCGTAGTCCCGTGCACGCTGCGCCTCGCGCCTCTCTGACAGCATCTCGCGGAGCAGTGCCTCGGTCGCCTCATCAAGCTGAGCCGTCGACTCTGGATCGCAAGTGTAGCCTCCGGCAGGGGAAAGCGTGGTGTTGAGTGGAGCGGCGGCGGCAGCAGCAACGGCGGGGCCCACGAATCCAACCGCAGGCTCGGTCGCTGCGACGCCCGCGACGTCCAAGTTGATGCCTAGGCGGCGAGCGCGGGCAATGGTCTCGCTCTCGGAGATGTCCACACCAGCCCCCCCCTCCTTGGAGGCGATGTGCTCCTTGCCTGGCGTTGCAAAGCTAGCGTTGGCGCAGGGGGCCGCCTCTGGCGTACTCGGCGCCGGACGTGGATCGCAGAGCGGCATCGGCCCATGGTCCGCGTGCTGGCGGGGAGGCGCATCGCCGGTGCTGCTGTCCGGGGCGGCTTCTTCCTCTTCGCCAGCGGTGTCCGCGACGGCTTCTGGCGGTTCGGATGGGTCGGTGCTTGGCTGGCACAGGCGCAATACCTCGAGCACCGTGAGCGAGACTGCCAGGGATCCGAACGGCCCGTCGTCTCGTCCGTCGAGCTGAATCTGGCCGCTCAAGTCTTGGCCATGCTTGAGCGTCTGGTGGAGGTTGAAGTAGCCGCTCGCAACCTCTTTCGCCTTCTTGCGTGGTCCAAGTGCACGCAGCGTGAAGGTCACGTCGGCGTCTTCCTCGTCTCGGCTGGCGAGCGCCTCGCGGAGCTTGGCCTCCGCTGCAAGCCCAATATGCGCTTCGAGCACACACGCAAACACAAACTCGCCCGCTGTTGCTTGCACGCGTGGGGTGGTGAGCAGATGATTGAGTCCGGGCATCTCCACCTCGATCCACGCCTCCATGCCTCCCACCTCCCTTGCGGCTGGCTCACCAAGAATCGAAAGCTTCTCAATGCGGACGGTGACGCTCCTTGCGTCATGTCCCGGGCTGCCAAACGTGAAGCCCATGCGGCAACTCACGCGGCAGCGCGCCGGCGTCACACCGGTTCTGATGCAACTTCGGCGATGCTGTTCGGCCGACGAAAAAACTCGACGGGTGGCTCAACTTTGCGATATCTCGCCGACATTTGGAGGAGGTGCACTTCGGCCCGTGTTCGGTGCGTGCAATATCTCTAAAAGAAAGAAAGAAAACAGACAACCCAAGGGAGGGATGGGAGGACGGCACGCCGCCACCACACAGGGATTTTAAGGAGAGGAGTGTGGTGTTAGCCCTCGCCAACCCTAACCCTTGGTCGTCTGCCTCTTTCTATCTCCCTTCTCAGTCCCTCGCCGATTCTCGCTGCAACCCTCATGCCACCTCGCGGTCGTCCTACTCTCGTCGTTCTCCCTCCTGTCGTTTCCTCCTCTGTCCCTTCAGCTGTGGTATCGGCATGCATGCCATCCGGCATCCTCATTTCATAGCCCTCGACATCCCGCTCCTCGTTGTTCTCCCAGTACGTCGCTGACCATGCCGATTTATTCTTCTTTTGGACCTGGAGGCTGTTGCCGCAGATCTTTGTCACTAACCAGGCACACTCTAGCCGTCTATAGCTAGCGCGAGCTGCATCGTCGCAATATCTATCTCTCTAAAGAAAGAAAGAAAGAAAACAGACAACCCAAGGGAGGGATGGGAGGACGGCACGCCGCCACCACACAGGGATTTTAAGGAGAGGTGTGTGGTGCTATCTATCCTCTGGGCGCGACTTTGGCTGTCGATTTTTGTTTTATTTTGAGGCGCGTGCCTGCTCTCGAGGTTTTTAATTCTTTTCGTGTGTGCTAGTCTGCGCCAGTCAGCGCCCTTGTCGTGTCAGAGAGGGTCCCCTCGAAGAATTCTTACCTACAGGTAAGGGATCCCGTAAGAAATACTCGAGTACTCAACGCGGGGCCGGCGGCGGCGTTGCGCGGTGCTTTCATGTCTGCAGTGAGCTGCCCTGTCTGCACCTTCCTCAACGAAGCTCCCCACGCCAGATCGTGCGAGGTCTGCGGCAGCGCCCTCGAGCCTCCGCAAAAGATGGCGCGGCTCGCCGAAACAGTCGACCTGTGCGACAGCGACGATGAGAGCGAAGCGGGCGCATCGAAGTCGTCCGGTGCGTCCACCTCGACCTCGGCGTCCGCCTCGTCCGGGTCCTCTGCCGGCGGCAGCTGGCAGGACCGCTTCTTGCGCGATGGCTTTGTCATCCTGCGCGGCGCCGTCCCGGCGTCCGAGTGCGAGCGCTTCCTGTGGGCTGCAGTCGAGCCGGCGCTGGCGCGTGCCGGCATCGCCGTCCGCTCCTCGTCGACGTGGGGCGAGGAGGCCCTCGGTGCGGCCTGGGGAGACGAGGGAGGCGCCGTGCTGCGCGCGCCGGATGGCGGCGACCACCCGATCCCGCGGTGGGAGAGCGACTCGGCCTGGCCCGCTCTCTTCTCGTCGCCCGCGCTGCTCGAGGCGCTCGACGCGCTGCACGGCGGCCGACGCCGGTGGGGGTGGCGGCACGGCGCGGCGAGCGGCGTCGGCTG